CCCTTGGCGGCCGCCCATAATGTATGTATGATACCCCTCGATTCTAGAGTCACGGGTGATTAAGTCTGAGCACAGATCTAAGAGATACCAAACAATTTAATATATAAACAAGCATTGAGTACAAAAAGAATTTAAAAATAAATAATTAAATCAGCTGAAAGAATTCTAAATAATAAAACCTCAAAGTAATAATATTAATCCACTATTACCAAAACCTCTAATATTATTACAACTCAGGAATCCATCTAGTGGACCCCTAATAATGTCCCAGTCGGAAAATAAATAACTGAACTAAAAAGGAAAACCAAAAGTAAAACGTAAGTAATAGTCTTACGTAGTCAGAGGAGTGAGTGACTGTCTCTGCTCAGCACGATCAAGCTCTACGATTGGAACTATTGAACACCTGAGAAAAATGATAGTGGGTCAGACCCACGAGCAAGTTCTACTCTACTACAATCCAAACAGAGACTCAATACGTATTTACATCCTAAACAACTCAATAATAACTAGATAATCCATAAATATATATATATCCACATTAAATGACTCTCACTGGACTACAAGACGGTCTCAACCTGACTAGTAGGTAACATGTAAAACACACGTGAAGTGGGTATGAGTACTTAGACCTAACAGGGTACAACTCTAACCATCATAGTCAGTTATGCATCCCACTGCATACGCTCCCTAATCGTCGATCCTGAGATTCAAGCTCATATCGAGGTATTAGAATTATATATTCAAAATCCATCCAAAACCAAGGTGATGTCATTCAATTATTTGTTGACCTAACATGAATATAAGTAGAACTTAACTTTTATAGTTAATCAATTCCCTTATTCTAGAGTAGGTAGGACTTAGCGTTTTGAACTAATCCATCCCTAATATGCCACCGTCCCATACTGGTGCATATAATCTATAATTCCAATAATTGATGAAATAATTAATAAGTTAAAATATCAATTAATCCATGACAAGCATAATAAACATATGTAAAACAACATGACTATATTATACCGCTGATACATGATTAAAAACTGTATAATCATCCATAAAAATTGCTAAAGTAAAGATAAGCAATTTAAATAATCCATAACCATCAACAATATGCAAATCTATTTAAAAACTTCATATTGTTCTAGTTCATCGCATCCTAAGATTTATTATGCATTAATATACACTTCGAAATTTTAGTATGTCCTTGGACTTCACTTAATTTCCCCACAAATAGGTCTTAATTAAATTTGGACACCCAAATACTCAGCCCAGTAGCCAAAACTTTGTCCAAAATCATCATCTAGAAAAGGAGCCGCCTCCCTCAAAGAGGGAGCCACCTCCTTCCAACAAGGAGTCGGCTCCCCCTTTAAGGGAGCTGCCTCCCAACCATGTAGAGTTGGCTCCCTACAATGGGGAGCTGCCTCTTTGTAAAGGGGAGTCACCTCCCTTCAAAAGGGAGCCGACTCTCCCCCTGTCTTGCACCATTTACTTCACCTTGGCGACTTCCAGTCATTCTGTTCCTCTTTGTTAAGGTTCCTAGCAGTCCTAACTAAGTCCCAGACTATCCCAGAAAATATTTAAATCCATCATGTATTGCTAACATTAATTAAAACCAATATTCATGCAAGTAAAATTGAAATTAAGTAATTATAATTGCTTTAACAAACATATTGCTTTAATCAAATTCAACACACATAAAAGATCGATTTAATATTCAGTTACTCTTGGAATTGTTTAGGCATATAAAGAACACGAAGCCTAAGGAAGAGAGTTAGAAATAAAACTTGCCTTTGGTTTTAGTTTGAAACCTTTAATCATCGTCTTTGATTTTTCTGACAACTCCTTAACTGTCGTTAAACACCTCTATTGCTCTTGGTTCAACCTACAAGCAATTACCTTCCTTCCTCTGTGGTCCGACCTTCAACCTAAACCTTAACTTGTTATCTCTGTTTTTCTCTCAAACCTCTCCGTATACATGAATAGGGTTTTTAACCCTTGACAGACGAATAATAGTATATTTATAGGCAAACTTAATTTTAACCTAATTCTAATCATATGAAGAGACTAAAAAGAAAAAGGAAAGAAATAAAATATAAAATAACTATATGTATATAAGTTGGCGATTTCATAAAAATATGTAAAACCCTAAAGCTATATAATACATATATAATGAATAATGATACTCATTTAATTATTAATAACAAATAATAATTAAACTAACCTTATATACATACATATTATCTAAGCCCAACTCCTTAAAAGAAATGAAACATTTAATTTAAATCTTTATTTACAACTAAACACTTAACACATAAATCAATTAGTTCAATTTCCACATAAGCATATAATTTCAATTAAACAAATAAATCAATTTAAATAATTAAACAAATAGCCAAATAAATCAAGTAATGAATTTAAAAATGTAATAAAACCGTAAAATAAATACCGAGACTATCCTTTGAAAATTAGGGATATTACAGCATGCACCAGGTGCCATGTTGGGCAGCCTTGGCTTTTGTTTTGTTTTGGTCACAACATCTTCATCTAGAATTCGAATCAATTGATTCTTGAGTCGAACTTCGTTAATTTTTCATTGTCTACCTAATGGTGTCCACGGTGGCACCTATTTCTGTATTAAATGACCATTTTACCCTTGGACCATTTCTTGGAGGGTTTTAAAACCCTAACTTCTGTCTTGCTTCCGTTGAGTCACGGGACTTTGAGAGAAGCCACTTTGGCGTCTTAGAGATGATGTACGTCACTAAAGACCTTGTTTTCTTTTTCACTTCTGCATTCCAGATCCGTTATCGGGTCAACTTTCAAATCATCACATGACGCATCAGGTTTGTAAAACCAGGACCGTCACAATATAGGCTTATTTGTTAGTTACTTGCCCTTCTTGTTTATACCTTTCATGATACTTTATTTGTTTCTCTAACTCTTTAAATTGCTTTCTATGTCAATTTCTTACAAAAAGGGAGAGAAATATGCATGCTAAAAGGGGAGGTTTCTTTATTAAGGTGGGAGTAGATTAGTATTTTTATTTTTGCTTTATCTTTATTAAACATTCATTGGTAGTGTTGTTTGAGCCTTATGCATATTTTACAAGTTGTTTTTTGAATCTATATGTTTTCAGTAAAGAAGTTACATATGAAGAAAGAAAGGGAAGGTTATTTCATTGTTATTTTTGGGTAGATTAGATACTGTCTAGGATTTTGGGCAAATATGTAATTTACTTTCACTAATTGGGTAGATTAGATACTGTCTAGGTTTTTGTCATGAAATTGCCAAAGGGGGAGATTGTGAAGTATAAAATTGTAATTGACATATTTTAGTATTAAAACAAGTCTAAATCAAATTGTAATTTTTCTATCAAAATTTGAATCTCGGTGTCGAAAGCGAAAAACTCAAGTGAAGCTATTCATGCCTGCTTCGTTTCGACATAGAACAACATTTAGTCGATGTAAGTCTGTTTGGAACACTTGTAATGCATTTAATGTTGGATAAGAGTGTCTAGGTTCAAATAAAAGTCCAACAGGTTGAGTTTAAAAATTGAACCGGTTGAAGTTTCTGCATAAAATAGCACTTAACAAAAGTCCAACTAGTTGAACATTAAAATTAAACTAGTTGAACTTTATGCATTAAAGCTTCACTCGGAAAAAGTCTAACCGGTATTGAACTTCAAAACTGTATTGTTTGAACTTATCCTAGTCAGAAAAGGAAATTTTGTTTTCTTCAACTTCAATTACCTTTTTCAAGTCTGATTTAGAGGGATGTTTTAACACGAAATTGTAAAGGTTTTCTAACCCTAGGAAGTCTCTCTAAACTTCTATATAAACTCATTTTCACACACAAATCATCATGACATTTTGATTGAAGATTTCAAAACCATAGAGAGCTTTTGTGTGTTTTTCAGAGTTTTCTTTTTATATTTTTAAGAGCACACACCTACACACTTGAGTGATTTATGTTGTTGTTTTACGTTTAATCAGAGCGTACGTGATTGAAGAACTTATTACTACCAGTTATTAAAAGCAGTTTTTCTTTTTACTTCAAAATTCCATATTTGAAGAAAATGAGGAAGAATACACACTTTGAAGGAATCAAGGCATTTGTAGAGTGCTTATTGATCTATTAATAATCCTTCTATAGGAATCAATGGAGTAAGTCTGAAGTCAAGTACTATTGGACGGGGGAGTCGTAATGCCGAAGACGTCCATCAATTAGTTCTTGATAGAGTGAAAGGGTGAGATACTGAGTCGAAGACCATTATACTTTACCTAATCTATAATGGATATTTTTGTTCGAGACCGCATAATAGTCTCTAAGGTTTTTCCGACGTTGGATGGATTTCTCTAATTAGGTCCTTGCTAAGAATCTGGTGTCACACTTACTCTACTTTTATGTTACTTGCACTTCAAGTTTTGCTTTCTGAATTATTTAATTTACTTTTATTTCGGTAAATTTAATTTAAGCAAAAATCGAATAAAAGAACAATTGAACTTCTTCACCCCTCCCCCTAGGTTGTTTATCTATATTTTATTCTATAACCATTCCATATAGTTCAACTTATATTAAACTTATGAGAAAAGAAAGTACACTATTGTAAATTCATAAATGTTTTCTTAAGAAATAAAAATATTTATGTATTTTTTTCAATTTTTTTTAATGAAAATTAAATAATTATAGAAAATTACTTTCTTTCAAAAGTTATCTATCCAAAGTCTTAAATTTTTTAATTTTCTTACCCTATTGTTATTATCGTATAATCAAACGGGTTCTTTTTTTTTTTTTTTTTTTTTTTAAAAAAAGTAATTTTCGTTTGTGGGCCGTGGGGCTGGGGGTGTGTGTATCCACTGTTGAGTCCAATATACTCGGCCCGAGGCAGAGGGAGTTATTTGTAATTTTGCAGCGTTAAACTTGAAACTCAGCGTGCGCAAACACCAAATTGGCTCTTATCATTCAAAAATTTTCAGATCTAAAACGGTCCACAAAATTTGAATCCTAAACCTTACTGACCGTTCATCAAAATTGTCCACACCGTCTGATCACGCATTTTCTCTCCTAAAACAAATCTTTTAGTTTTCATCAACGTTACGGAAACCCCTTTATCTCTCTGTCACACACACACATTCACACACTCTTCTCAGTTTTCTCTACCATATACAGAAAACTTCATCTGTTTGAAAGGTTAGGGTTTGAAAAGTAATCGAGTGAGCAGGAGCAATGCCGTTCATATCGGAAGCAGCGAGTGCCATCAAAAGCCGGTTTGGTTTCCATGAACGTTCTTTGGAGTCGATGCCGTCAGTCCGGAGCTCTCCGGATCTCCTCAAATCAGTAACCAAAGAGAAGAACAGTTCCCAGTATTCTACAGGGCGGAGTGTTATTGGCGATGTAGATGAGGATCATGGAATGTCGAACCAGGGTTTCGAAATCACTGAAGACCCTTCTTTCTGGAAAGATCACAATGTTCAGGTACTGACTCAGGACCATTCAAAATTTTCCACGCGTGTGGTTAGTCAGTAGATGTACATGTAGTGTAAGTACTAGAAATAGTACCAATTTTTTTGTTACTACTAGATTTTTGTTCATTTTGGCTGAGCTTCTCTTTGGCTTAGCTGAGGTGATTTTCCCCTTTTTACTCCTAAAATTTTGAACTTCGATTTTGCTTTGGTTTCTTCAATTTTCTGTGTAGCCAAATTGAGGGTAAAAAACAAGACTGAAGCGAAATTTGGCAGTTCATACACTTCATTAGGGTTCATCGGTACAACTATTTAAATACAACTAGGAATTAAGTGGTACGCGACTTCATTTGGGTATATCTGGAACCCTGTGTAAATGCATTGGGTGACAGCAATCATATTTGAACAAATTAGAACTTGTAAGTACTGTTGTTGATTGCATAACTAGTGACTGTAGTCTAAAATCACTCGAACAATAGAATAGTTTCATATGTTATACTTATAATACGTTGTCTCCATGCAGTCTTAAACATAAATGGAAGTTTATGATTTTTATATTATAATCTAGTTCATGTATTTTTAGTTATGCAAGTTGTGATGTATTCTTTCATGTTTTTTTCTTCTCATGCAAGTACGGCATGCTGCGCCCATGCTTTTATACGTGTGTCTGTTGCTGTCTTAAAAAGAGCAAGTGTTGCAGTGAATGATCATATATGATTAATGTTTTTATTCTTTGGTTAAGCATGATTACAATGTAATGGTAAGAAAAAATTAAAAGACTATTAAGAGGCTTATGTTAACTGGTCATGAAGTTCACTTATTGAATACAACTTCTAGTATTGAATGTAAATGTAGAATTAGATTATCGTTAGTAAATTTATTGATTCTTTTGTTATCGTTAAAGTCCTAAAATTAGGAGTGACATCTTGGGCTAAACATAAAACGAATCAAACTATAGATATATCACATTAGACATGATAGATGTAGAAGATTATGAAGAAGTTGGGGAAACATCTTCATTACACAAGCAGCTTTTTCATCGAGAAGGGGAATATAGTCAAGTGAGTGTATATCTTGCAACTGTGCTGTGTCATATGGCTTCAAATGAGAAATGTTTAGCTCATCCAGTATGTTGATGAAACCTATTATGAAATGTCTGTGACATGTAGGCAATTGGATATGTTCAACTCGGTCTTATACCGACTGATGAATAGTATGGACAGTTTCAAGCCTTCTTATTAATACGTTTGGTGAAACTTGATGAGGGATTTGATGTATATTTTTTTAATTGGTAAAGAAATAGATTGATTTTTAGGAGAACTGTTTTTAATGAAATGATGTTCTGAAGCTTTTATGGTTTTAACAAGTAAGATGTTTGATTGTGGCCTCCATGTATAAGTTATCAGGCCCTTGGCTATTTTAAATAACTTCTGATACTGGACCAATTCAGTTCAATTTTGACTGATTTTTTAATTTTTTATTTAAATGAAAATATGCAGGTTATAATAAGAGTACGTCCGCTGAGTAGTTCTGAGATATCTCTGCAAGGATATGGTAAATGTGTTAAGCAGGAAAGCTCCCAGACAATTACTTGGACTGGGCATCCAGAATCACGTTTTACTTTTGATCTTGTTGCAGATGAGAATGTTAGCCAGGTATTAGTTGATTAGATTAATATTGTGTATTGTTTTTATTTATTTTTTTCACATCATGGACTTTATTTTAATGACCTTCAGGAGATGTTATTCAAAGTGGCTGGGGTGCCAATGGTGGAAAATTGCATGGGAGGCTATAACAGCTGCATGTTCGCCTATGGCCAAGTGAGTCATCAATTTCATATATTCTAGTTCTATGTTTCTGTCTCAACGGATCCATTTTAAATGATATGAAGTATCTTGATAATAGGGGGTTAAGAAGTAGACAATTTCATTACTTTGCATGGAAATTTTTTATAGAAGATATTTGCTTGATTTAATGGTGTGTTTTTAAAGAGTATAATTTTCTAATTCTATGATGAGCAATCCTACTGATAACTGCTTGTTTGATAATGATTATATTCTCACGTTCTTAATTCTAATGGTTTAACTGTAGACTGGAAGTGGAAAAACTCACACAATGCTTGGAGATATTGAAGGAGGCACTCGAAGACATAGTGTCAATTGTGGGATGACCCCTCGAGTTTTTGAGTCACTGTTTTCAAGTATTCAGAAGGTATATATTGTCCAAATTTAAACTCCTACTTTTTTGGGATCACAAGGAATATTGGTTGTCTCAGTTGCAAAGTGATATAAACCATCGAGTTCTTTATAAACACTATACATAAGTATATACTTTCTTGCTAGAAGTGGAAATTAAATGATATTGAGCATTTTGTAATCTTAGTAACTTTCCTATGATCACATAGTTATGAAGATGAATAGGGTTTTTGAAGAGGCTGTTATATAATTTTCCCTATGTTAGACAAGTTCTCCACTCTTATTCAGGGAAAAAAAAGTTGTCCACTCTTCTGGTAGTATTTTGGCAATATGGATATTGAGGGACTATTGTATTATTCTCCTTTTGGTGGAGAAGTTTCATACTCTTCTCTTCTTCCAACTATCTGGCACATACTCTTGGTTGTAAAATTGTTAGAGTACTTCCAACTTGTATATGAGTAAAATATGCCTTTGGACTTTTAAAAAAAAAATAAAAAAGGCCTTTAGAAATGAAAATCGTGGATGTTGGCCTTTGCACATGAAAATTATTAACATTTTAAACTTTTTGTACATGGAAAGCTTTTGATGTTGGCTTTTTTTGCATATGAAAATTATTAATGTCATATTGAAAATTTGACATTCAAATATAGATTGGAATTCTATTTATCATTTCTCATTCTACTTTTGACAGTTAGATTCTTTTATTCCATGCTTCTTTTCTTACTTGTGTGCCAAGAATTTTGATGCAAAGTTTTATGTTTCAATTGTGGTGTTACAGGAAAAGGAGGCACGCAGGGAAGAGAAATTAAGATTTACTTGTAAATGTTCTTTTCTAGAAATATATAATGAACAAATTCTCGATCTTTTAGATCCAACCTCTATGAATTTACAGGTATTTTTTTTTTTTTTTTTTCATAATTGGTGTTGTGTTGTATTATAGATAAAGAGTGAAATACACGAGTACAGAGGGCATACCCTTAGCTAAGGACCATAAAGAAAAACAAATTGAAAAGGTCCATTTCCAATACATTACAAAAATCTGAAAACAAGCCCTAATGTATGACATCAGACAAAACTGCATTCTGGACATCCAAAACCTCCCACTGCACCTGCTTTGCCACTGCTGGTGGATCCTTGGGGCTAGTATCATGCAGCCTAGCATTTCTTTCTTGCCAAATACCCAAAGAGCAGCTACAAACAAACTTTTAAGAGATCTTGAGTGTTGATAAAGTTGTTGAAACCAAGTAAGCAGAGTAGTCACAGTTCTGATCTCAGCAAATTGATCCTTATTCCACTTAAGCACCCTCCAAACCAGAACCAAACTTGCTGTGTAAACTCACATGCAACAAATAGATGATCATTAGTGTCTACATCCCTGCAGCATAAAGAACACCTAGAGGGCAACAGGTTGAATTTACAGGTATTGATACCAACAGGTTGAAAATTTCATCGGCGTAGTTCATTATTTTTTATATTTCATCTATACATGTTTTTTAGAAGTCTCGCCCCACTGCCTTATATCTTTGTGGGCCTTGTCACATTTTAAATGATGAAATGACTAATTATGTAAATTTTGTTTTTGTTATATTATTATAAAATACAACTTATATATATGTATATATATATATATTTAGTTATAAATATTATTGAAATAAGTTCTTGAAAGCTGTGGTCGGGGCACGTTTCAGATAAGGGAAGATGCTAAGAAAGGGGTCTTTGTAGATAACCTCACAGAGGTAGAAGTTACAAGTGCTCGAGATGTGATTCAACAACTTGTTCAAGTACGAAATTACCTTGTTTATTTACTCTTCTTTTGTAGTACTTAAACTCAGCAAATCAACTACTCTTATGCTTTAATCTAATCGTATATGTTATTTAGTTAAGGAATATACAATTTTATTGATTAACTGTTATTATACATTTAAATTTGATTCTTTAAATGCGTATCAACTTACTTGGCTGTGGGTCATCCAGGTCTAGTGTTTTTTTTTTTTCTTCCTTTTTTGTTTTAGCTTTGTAAGAGAGAATGGAATTATTGTTAGAAGTTGTTTCTTATAGTTTTCATATTAAAATCAAAAGAAAAACGTTTTTTAAAAGCATTTATATATTTTGTGTAAAACTGAGAAAATTGAAGTCAGAAAGCTTAAATTGGAATTCGAGCATTAGCAAGCATGTATTTTAAATACAATACTTGACTTTTCCATACACTATTAGCTTTTATTTTTTTAAATTCCCCCTCAAGTTTATACTTCGTAGTACTCTCTAACTGTTTTTTATAGAGGATAATTCTTGCTTTGGTATTCAATTTAAGTGCTTGCTTAATGTTGGGTTCAATATTTTACATGCAACATGAGTGTAATTAGATGGTAGTTAGATTTAAGGAACTAAGAGTTACATGATAGTAGACAGGTAGGGTTACTATATATATATATATATATTATTATTTTTTCATTGGCAAGAAACACACTCACACACCCCCTACGGGGACTTGAACCCTCGACCTTCTACTTTGGAAGGTGAGGAAGTACCATCAGGCTACAAGGCCCTTGGTGGGTTACTATATTTTTAATAGGCATGATTTTGTTAAGGTCAATATTGTGGCACTAATTATATGTCGTGTTTCAGGGTGCAGCAAACAGAAAGGTAGCTGCAACTAATATGAATCATGCAAGCAGTCGTTCTCATAGTGTTTTTACATGCATCATCGAAAGTAAGGTGAGTGGCTACTGTTTAAATTTTTTGTTTTTCTTCCCCATTTCTCTTATAGTTTAATTAGTTGAGCCATTTTGTTCATTTAAATTTACTTTGGTGTTAGAATTCTAATCAACTGTTCATTTATAGTGGGAATCTCAAGGTGTAACACATCACCGATTTGCTCGGCTTAATCTAGTGGATTTGGCAGGTTCTGAAAGGTAACATTGTCGAATAGAGTAGGGTGAAAGATTCGAGTCATTTGACAATGGAGGATTTTTGTTTTATAAAAAGATTTTTCAGGTACTTACATCTTATTTCATATTTTATATCACATTTATTTTTAATTATAGGCAGAAGAGTTCTGGAGCTGAAGGTGAACGCCTAAAAGAAGCCACCAACATTAACAAGTCCCTTTCGACGTTGGGGTTGGTTTTTCCTACTTTCCATTAATCAGTCCTTTATGTTCTAATGTTGATTAAGAAGAGCATCATTAGTCTTTTCTTACTGTTAACTATGGGATAGGATGTGAATCTATTTTGTTGTGCTCTGTTAACTTTAGTCTTGTTTTTGTTTTTGAAATTTGCAGACTTGTGATTATGAACCTTGTAAATTCATCTAATGGGAAGTCGCTCCATGTTCCTTACCGGGATTCAAAGCTCACATTTTTGCTTCAGGTAATAGTTTTACCGTAAAATCTTAAACCAAAATGCACATTCCTTTTCCTGGTAGAAGCGTCGTAACTCATAAATCAATATCACATCTAGCAGATATTGAATTGTAATAATTCAATTTATAGTATATTTTTCTGCTTCAATTTGGTTATTTCTGAAATTTTTAATGTGCATAGTGTTCAATAGTTCAGAAGACCTGTTAGCTAGGCAATTGAGTTTTTAATACAAAGGACTTCATTTTCTTTTGTTATATTGAGTACAGATAAAGTTCCTATTCAAATTCTAGTTCAGAGTCGAGAATGTTTTCAGTGACAGACTAAAATTTCATGTGAAGTACTATTTATGAACCTAGCTCGTGGAAGAAAGTGTTGACTGGACAGAACTTGTGGTTAAAAAAAAAAATAATAATAATGGGGAAAAAAGAACTCATGATTTAAAGGCCATTATCCATTATTTGTCCAATCAATTGAGTATTCTAGGAGTGGTTGACTAGGTAAGAACTCGGAAGTTTACATAGTTGTATAGCATAAGTCTGCTTTGTATGCGATTGTTGTTACATGGAAAGTTTGAAGTTCTTGTATTATCCAAAGGCATGCACCAACACAGAAATGTCATAACTATCTTTTTCTGATTTCCTTTTCAGGATTCTCTAGGAGGGAATGCAAAAACGAGTATAATTGCAAATATTAGTCCGTCAAGTTGGTCAGTAAATATTGTTTATATATACTTGTTTAGTTCAGCCTCTAGCTTCACTTTCTATATGCATGGTCTTTTTACCTTTTACGTTTTTGGACTGACTATGTTTTAACCAATAGTTTATGTTTAAAATTCAACTGAATGGGAGGCGAGGTTGTTTACATGGTATCTTATTAAGTTTCAGACATTCTTAAATTATTTTTGACTTCCACAAACTCATTTGCTTTTCAAGTGACTATAGATTTATGAGAATTTAAACATTGATGAACATATATTTTCTGTATATTCAACAAGTTTTTGATTATTTATTGGGATAAATATACTTTTATGTTACATTCTTTTTGGTGTTATTGCAGCTGCTCATTGGAGACTCTAAGCACATTGAAGTTTGCACAACGTGCTAAATTCATTAAGAACCATGTATGTTATATTTGTTCACCATTTTTATGTGTTCATACTAGTTGTGATCTCAATATAGGATGGGTACATTTTGTGGGTTTAAGTTTGCCCTTCGAAATGCATTATCTAGGTCCTTTTTCCATTTCTCTATCTTTTAAGAATTATCTTAAAATTACAATAGATTGAGTCATTCTGAAACTCTAATGCAATTAATTTTAACCTTTGGGCTCTTCTACATCAGTCTGATTTGATGTGCTTAAATATTTTCCTTTTTAACTATTACCAATTAAATGCTGTTGTACACTTCAGGCCATTGTGAATGAAGATGCTTCTGGCGATGTCCTTGCCATGCGGATGCAAATTCAACAGCTTAAGGTATTATGCACATCCTGAGTTCTTGTATTTCTTTCTTACTTTTTAGGTGAAATACAGAAGCTTGATATTATAACTTCTAGTTATTTAAATTATGTCATAAAATGGCATTTTTTTGAAAAAAATTCACGTAGGGATCAAATCAACTTTCTTTGAAGTTTGTGGACTAAGTTACCAAGGTGTTTAGATGTTCTTTGCCTTTTCGTGTAAAATGGCACTTTCTTGTTATATGATTATTCAACCTATGTTACCGGGACTTAGGTAAGTGTATCGTGTGCGGGTGTGTCTAAGTGTTGAACCTCCTTTTAATCCTGTGGAAGGATATAAATATTAAAGTTACACCCTCTCTAACAGCTTAAGCTTTTGGAGTAGATGGTTGTTAACATGGTATCAGAGTCAAAAGATCTTGAGTTCAAACCTTACTGTCACCCTAATTAAAATTGAAAAACATGAGTTGGACCAAAAAAGGCCACACATGAGGGGGCGTGTTGAAGGATTTAAATAGTAAACTTACACTCTCTCCAACAGTTTAAGCTTTTGGAGTATATGGTTGTTAACAAATCCAAATCTTAGAATTCAGGGATTCGTGTTCAAAAGTTGGATACGGGTAAGTAGACATATAATATGCATACTTTTTCCCCCTGAATGGGGGGTGGGTGGGTTATTTTATAAAGAAAAAACTAAAATAGTACAGAAGTTAGTGAAGGCATACCTTCACATACATTAAAGCAAATGAGTAGAACCATTTTCAATAAAAAGCCAAAAGAAAAATAGACACCAATCTAACAAAGCAAGAACTATAACAGAACATCATTTAGAAGGAAAAACGAGAGTTAAGTCTTGAAGCTGCAGCCCCTATAGATGCAAACACTCCCAGTGGATCAAATGAGAAATCCAAGATGATAGAAGATACAAAGGAGTGTCTATCAAGACCTGTGCAGAGCCTACTCCTACACTTGCGCAACAGAGTTTGACCGACCCTTGAACCAAGGATCTGTAAGCAACCTGAATAGGCTGAATTGGCAACCATCCCCAACCTGGAAATTGCATTGCTCTAACATAGAAGGCTTTATTTGAAGAATATTATCCATGCTGCAGAATGATGAGCCTTAGGAACACAGCTCCAAAAGTCACTTCTCTGCAAATACTTATTTATTTACCATTTTTCCCATATCTTATCATTTATCAGCATCCTGTATAAAATCCACAAAAAGCAAGCACTTTTAAGCATAATCAAATGTATTGTGTGGTAAACCAAATGGGCATTTGGTTTACCATAGTACATTTGATTATACTTATTAGTGCTTCCTTTTTTGATTGTGAAGGATCGGGGTATCTGATGAGTTCGTCTGTCAAACAATTATCCTGTACCCACGCCCATGTTGTGTCTTTACCACAGTTCATTTGATTATGCTTATAAGTGCTTCCTTTTTTGATTGTGAAGGATCGGGGTATTTGATGAGTTTGTCAGTCAAACAAATATCATGTACCCACGCCTATGTTGTGTCCACATGGGTTCGTGAAGTAAAATACTACCTGTGTCCCATATTTATAGTCCACTATCCCTTTTAGGGATGTCCCAAATTAGTTGTCCCATTTTGTTTTCAAAACAAATTAAAAGCATTCTCTCCTTAAATACCCTTTAACGTTTAAAAAATTCTCTCAACTTAATAATACAACTTCATAATTTTAAAAGGGGACAATGCGATAATTGCATGTCCCCTTAAAAAGCTCTACTCCTTAAATGGGCAACTAATATGGGATGAAGGGAGTACCATGTAACAGAGGATTCAACATAGGTCATTGGCCCTACACTATGTCGGAAAGCACATAACAGAGCAACTTATTGAGATAGAGGATATATTTGGATCAAATTTCATGTTCCTTCATATGATAAACTTGATGGATACATATCTTACTGTGTGAACACATATCATGAACTAATATGTTTTTTTTACAAAACAAGTACATTGGACATTTTGATGTTCTCACGTAACACTTTTTTTTTTTTTTTTCCTTTTTTTCTAAATGCAAATTATTTATATTTAGGTGCTGGAACTATTTACATGTATGGAAATTTCAGCTCCTCCATTACCTGTTTTGTGCGATAATTTTGGAAATTTCTTCAAAATGGATCTGTATGCTAGGTCCTTGATTTTGTATGATTTGACTTATTACAGCTATACAAGTCCTTTTTGTGATGGAAATTTCCTCTATTGTTCTTGAACATTCATTACAAGTACCAAAATTTGCCCATTGCAAATAAATTTGTTGATTTATGATAAATAGGTAAAGTAACTAATTATACTGTATACAGTGAATTTGTAAATTGTAGTTCTAATCTTTGTTTTATAATGACATATTGCTATTGTCTTTTTGTTTTGAATAAATTTATTAAAATTATTTATTTTTGGGAAATTATTACCTCCAATAATTAAGGTAGGTAGGTAAGTTGGTTCACTTTGATCAATTTTTGATGATTGCAGACATTTGTTCATATATATTTTTGTTTCTCTCATTTCCAGAAAGAAGTATCTCGTCTGCGGAGTTTTCTTAATGGAGGAGCTGAAAACCATGAAAGTGATGCTTTGACGGTGTCATTTCCAGGTTCTCCAGGATCCTTTAAGTGGGAAGGGCTTCATGGATCATTCAGTCCATTTACATCTGATAAAAGGATGTCACAGGTACAACAATTCTTTCTTGAGATTGAATAGGAATGTTTGACATGTTGGTTCTAATTATTTTGTTTGGATTTTCAGAAGAAAGAGTATGAAGTTGCCCTTGTTGGGGCTTTCCGGAGGGAAAAGGATAAAGATATTGCATTGCAGGCGTCGGCTGCTGAAAGTCAGGCAGCAATGCAGTTGGTATGCTTAAAAGAAACTCATTTTCTATCATTTGCTTGTTGAGTTTGATAGTGAAGTGTTCTGAGACATGCATCAAAGATTATAGAGTTTTTAAGAGAGAATGAAGTTGCTTGCTTCAAAACTACTAAATGCCTACTTTCTTTCTTCATTTTCTTTTTAATTTTTTTCCCCCTATCTGAGAAGAACCATGATCTTGTTACCTCCAATATTTTTGTTTGTGGGGTGAATCAGGCCAAACAAAGAGAAGATGAGATACAAGGCCTAAAAATGAGATTACGGTTCCGAGAAGCTGGAATAAAGAGGCTGGAGGCAGTTGCATCCGGAAAGATATCAGCCGAGACACACTTGTTAAAAGAAAAGGACGAACATTTGAAAGAAATAGAGGTCCTACGCACCCAGGTTGATCGCAACCAGGAAGTAACAAGATTTGCCATGGAAAACTTACGACTAAAAGAAGAAATCAGAAGGCATGTCACTGGTTTATTTACACATTATCCGAATTACTCAACTATATATGCGCAAGCAGAGAATCAACTAGAGTTTTTTATAGTATGAAAGAGAAAATGTGAAAATATTTTCCTGAATATACCAGTCATCCTTTGGAAATTCAACAATTGAGACCTAATCATGTCATAGCTTAAAATATAAATAATAACTAGAGTTGGAAACGGAGTATTTAAACAGTAAGGAGCAAAACCAATATTCACAATAGAAATATAATCTGTCTTTATGGGATAAAAAAGATAAAGATGCTTTCTACTTCCATCAGGATATACTTAACACCTTATGTTTCAGTTCATAGTTGTTAATGGCACAAGGCGCACTAAGGCGCCAAAGGCCTTCTGGAGCTTAAGGCGCAGTATAAGGTGCAAGCCTGATCGAAGTAAGGCATATATGAAATAATAATGCATATTTAAGCATATATTACTATATGTCTTCGTAAACATGTACTAACTGCAGTTGGTGCAAGTAGTGTACTATAAATTTATGAATTTTGTCAAATATTTCAAAAGGTTAAACAATATGATATATGATATAGAACGTCTTAATTTAGTAGTCATTAAATAAAAAAGAAAATGATATAAATAAATGATTAAAAAATACAAGGCGTGCCTTTTTTGAGCCTGGAGCCTACAAAAAAGCGTAAGCCTGGCTTGTTGTAGGTTGAGGCACTCTAGCTGAGCCTGGGGCTTTTTTGGAGCCTAGGCGCGCCTTTAACAACTATGTTTCAGTTTGAAGTTATTTAAATGAACCTATCAATTATTTTTGACTACTGAAATTATATTTTTCCCAGTTGTTTAGGAAGCTTGAAATTTGTTTGTTCACTAACATGCAGATTGAAGTCATTTTGTGAAGAAGGTGAACGTGAAAGAATGAATGAACAGATTATGACATTACAGACCAAGGTTATTTGGAATTCTTTTTTCTACTCCTGTGTTCTTAGTCATTCATATGTTTTTAGTTAAACGCTGACGGTTTTGAATATAATTTGTCTCAATGAATAAATATGCAGTTGCTAGAAGCACTTGATTGGAAACTAATGCATGAATCAGACCCCTTCATTAAGGTTCTTCTCAATCTTCTTTATAGGCTTGAAGGTGAATTGTTTCTGAATGTGTGCATATGTCATCAACCTAAACTTGTAATTGTTTTTATGCTACAGAAAGGAAATTCAGATCTGGTGATGGACATGCACAGTGATTGTAATCTACTGGTTTCTGGTCAGGTAAGATCTACTTTAACTTGTCATGTTTTCCAGCCTACCTAGGAAATATCAGTTCAACAATGGATCATCTGTTTAACGCTGTAATGCTTCTTAACCAGTTTATCTGATAAACTACTTTTGATCCAATATATAGTTCTGAGAACTTTGAGTCAATGAGGGCTGTTGTAGTCCTTATTGTTAATATTTGAATGTAGTCTACAAGGACATGGAATTCAATATGAAAATTAAAACCCCTGCAGTTGTTGACTAGGAAACTTGAGAATCCAGATTGACTACTTTAGGAATTTGAGTGTTTGTATCAAGGGCCTGTCTACTTAAGGAATTTAAATGTTTGGATCTTTGTGAGGCAGTGAGCGTGAATTTCATCTGACACTGTAGCTTGATTTTGAAACGGATATAAATTTTTTTGTATGAAACTGACAATATCTATTGTTTTCATTTTTCTCCTTTGGTGATGAAAGTACTAGTTATAATCGTTGGCAATTTTATCATTCCATTCTTATAATTCTTTGTGAAAATCGGAGCCTGAAAAATCCTTAAATAGTTTTATTTTTATTTATATATATATATATTTTCCTGAATGGGGTTTGTATATAAACAAAAATAAAGTATAGAGAAAACTGAGGGCATACCCTCTGAATACAACCATGGAGAAGAAAAACTCCATTTCCAAAACATAGAAAAAAGGGAAAACCAAAGTAGCCAAGAAAAGAACAAAGTACATCAGCATAAAAAAATATAATCAAGCTCTCCAAGCTGAGGTTGAGAGGAAATAAAGCTTTCCAAATCACATCCCTACCAATATTAGCAGTGTCCTTAGAATGTCCATCATGTAGTCTACTATTCCTCTCTCTCCACAAAGAGCAAAGAGTAGCAGAAAAAATACATCTTAAAATTCTACCCCTGAAGCTGTTCCCTTTAGCAACAAAAATTACTGGACCATGGAGTCAAAATAAGAAAAGTTCTGAAACTGAATATTCAAACAATTGAAAATTCATTTCCAAACTTGATTTGCCAAGGAGGAAGACGCAAAAAGGTGATCTCTAGAATCCTCACCTACATAACAATTATGGCACAGAGAGTTCAACACCATACCTCTCTTCTGAAGAAAACAGAAGGTGGAAAGGCTTCATTCATAATAAGACAAGCAGTAAACGAGACCCTGGGTCTATACTGGTTTCACACAAGATTCTTCCAATGTACCTTCCTTCTACTTGAATGACATCCATCCCAAGCAAATTTGAATGAACAAGAACTAGACTTCCAAACAGTAGCATCAGAACCATTATGAATGGGAATGACGTTTAATGAGGTAATCTGAGCAGGCCAAAATGTAGGCAGAGTCCACTGTTGCTCTGTAATAAAGTTCTGCAGCAGATCATATTTCCCAAGACCTCTACATAAACCAGGGACAAATCTCTCTTCCGAGGACTTACCATCAGCCCAAGGATCCATGCATAAAGAGAATTTATCTCCTCTACCAATCTGAAGTGTACCTGTTTCAAAACTATTTCCCTTGCCCCAGTAAATTCTTCCAAATATAATAATCTTGTTTTTTCGTAATACAAATCTAATAGTTCACATACTTGAGAAATTTCTTGTAAAACCAAGAACAAAGAAACCCCAAACCTTTCTTTCTTCTGTATAAAATCCCAAACCATCAAACACTTACCAGCATTATCTAAGTCTTCAATTTTCCTGATTCCAAACCTTATTTCTTCAATAGGAGAAGAACCCTCACTTCACTTTAAATGGTGCATACTCTTGTTGAACTCTCCCTAATTTTCTTCTCAACGAGAAAGCTGCAGGACCATGGAATTTTGAAAACAAAACTCTAATGATGCAAATAAGAGAGTAACAGTTTTAACTAACTGAACTCTGCCTGCAAGAGAGAGAGAAAGGGCATTCCATGAAAGCATATCTGATATCTTATCAAACAACTTTGAGAAATGACATTTCCTTGACCCTGTATCAACCAAGGAAAGTCCCAAATAATCCATAGGAAGAGAAGCATTCCTGAACTGAATGATCCTTTTGATACTAGCCTCCCTTCTAATAGACTTAGCAAACACCACAGAGCTCCTTTCTCTACTAATCTGAAGACTTGCAGCTTCTGCAAAATGCTTGAAAATCCTTCTAAGCTCCATAGCAGTACCCAAATGAGCTGAAACAATCACGAACAGATCAACAAAAAAGGAATGTGGAAACTTCATTCGCAGTTTCTCCATTGGTCTACTCAGCTTGATAACACCCCTATTGACCCCATCTTCCATAAGAGTGGAGAAACACTCTGTAATTAAGGTTAAAAGCAGAGGAGACAAAGGGCATCCTTGTCTAATAACTATCAAACCTTGAGGAACACTAATACAATCAGCTATGAAAGAGAACAAATAAATTTGAAGGGAAAAATAGAGAGCAAGATTAAGCTAACGAATAACTTAAACACCCACAACTCAATCCCAAGGAAAGGGAGAGGTATAAAGCTGCTACGGCAGACTAAATATATTGATAATATGAAAAAGGCTGCTGATTACAACTTGGATCAACCCTTTTGTAAGACACAAGGGCTGCCCTAGCAAAGATTTAATCCCAGCCCTTCATATAAATGTAATCTAAAGGCTAGTATTTTGTCCAGCAGAATAAAGAGATAAAAAATGACAAAACAGTCCTTAAGAAGTCACATGACTCACTTAAAAGGCACATGAAATATAAAATAAAACTTGAATGACAATTATATTTTAAACATGAAATAAAAACAGATTTAAAACTTAGATAAATGACTCAAGACCCATAAATAAACACACAATCTGATCACACCATCAGCTTGCATCTATCAATGGAAACTCAGTTTAGTCTTCTAAGGATCTTCAACTGTTTGAAGAAAGCACTCTTCCATCTGCACTGCATCAGTCCCTCTAGGTGAGAGAAAACTCGTCCTCAAGTTAGAAGCAAATTTCCATGACCAATAAAAAATCTGAGCACGGCGTTCCATCCCTTATTTCTTCTTTTTCGAACTCGAATCAGATACAATAATATTCTTATACTAAGAAAGATTACATGGATTTTACTAGATTTCCTCTTAACATTGGGTAGATTCACAAAACTCGGTGGAACACGTATCCTGTAGTAGAAGTTTAATCAACTTTAATTTTTCTTCCACCAACCGCTTAGCAGTTGTAGTGCGTTTTCACTCCAAATTATATAAGTGTTCTCATTGGACTCGTCATCCTTATCATAAATAGGTTCCTCTTCTTGTGGTTGTTCTCCTTTTCCACCAAGATATCCTACAAATTCTGGAATTTTCACCATAAAGCCACCATCCCAATGCCTTTCTTCAAATGGAATGGGTGCTGGTCTGGTTGCTGTGTTTCTGCGAAAAGGATTAACAAAATCCTCTTCCAGATTGTCCTCCTCCTCATATTCGACGCCATCTTGAGAAGGGGCTGGGGTTTGCAACGCGCAAAGCTAAAGCTTCAATCTACCTTCTTAGATCTTCTATCACATCAAGCACTTGTTGATCAACTGATGTGTTCTGATTAGACCGAACCCCTGGTCTGTGAGGCGGGTTTCTTCTTCTCGGTAGCATGTTGCAAAACCAAAGAGAGATATACACAAACCACTGGACCAGAATTTGCTCTGATACCAACTAATGCAATCAGCTATGAAAGAAAAGAAATAATCTGAAGAAGGGAAAACAGAGAGCTAATTCAAGCTAGAAAATTAGGTTAAACACCCACAAAATAAAGAGCTAAAAAATGACTAAACAGTCCTTAAGTTGTCACATGACTCGCATAAAAGGCGCATGACTTATAAAATAAAACTAGAATGACAATTAATATCCTAAACATGAAATAAAAAAAAGATTTATAAATGACTCAAGACCCATAAATAAACACATAATCTGATCACACCATCAGCTGCATCTATTAATGGAAACTCAGTCTAGTCTTCTAAGGATCTTTAACTGTTTGAAGAGAGCACTCTTCCATTTGCACTGCATCAAACACCATTAACAAGAACTGAGAAATGAGCTGTAGAAATGCAAGCCTTTACCCAACTAATCCAATGCTCACAAAAGCCATAGGATTGCAGCACAGCAAACAAAAAATTCCAATAAACATGGTCATATCCCTTCTTTAATTGAACTTCATCATCGTGGAATCATTTCCATTCTTCTTATTAAAGCATTTCACATGATTATGAGAAAGAATTATATTGTCCTGAATTTTTCTTCCTCCAATAAATGCTAATTGTTCTTGTCCAACAAGCAAGTGGAGTATAAAACTAAATCTGTTTGCCAAAATCTTTGTGATCACCTTGTATAAGGTATTACAAAGAGAAATAGGTCTGTATCACTTATCTTCAAACTCTGACACTTCTTAGGAACTAAAGTAATGAAAGCACCATTCAATCTCACTTCCTTTCCGATCTGCTGAGTGAGAGCCGTCTTCTTTCTCAAGAACTGTGACAGAATTCTAACCTCTTCTCTGACTTCACTCTTTCATGGAAATGCTAAGCATCTATCTGTCTTCTTCAACCATGTGATCCTTGACTTCTGAGCCCACAATATCTCCTCATACCTCAAACATTGATCTTACTCAGTTTTAGCTTCTGTTTCCTCTTGAATTAAGCAGTTTAGAGGATGTCTCAAGAGCTGCAGCTGAACGAACCCCATCTTCTGTCTAGCCAAATCAACTCGAGTAGGTACAAGGCCTTTTTCCTTATTCCACTTATTTATAGCCCCTTAAACATTCCTAAATTTCTTCATAACACAGTAAATAGGATTCCCAGAAGCCTCTTCCATCCAAGCTTCCTCATAATACACTCCACTTCAGATTGAAGACACCAAATCTTTAGAAATCTGTAAGGCTTTGGGCCTTCTGCACAATTCACGGAAGTATGGATGATCATTACATAATCATTGGACAAAGATGCAGCATATAGAACAATTTTAGAATCACAAAAGGTAGTCAACCACTGACAATTGGCGATAACCCTATCCAATTTTGCATTAGTTACCAAGCAAGTTTGAAGATTTCACAAAAGAGCTCTGCAAGTTTGTTCAAATTTATTCTTTGTCTGTAACAAAAGTTTATTGTGCTTTGATCTAGCATGTAAAATAAGGAAGAAAGGATGGAAGGCTTTACTCAGGTTCTTCATTGATCATGGTAAATTGTTTCAAACTCGAGGGCGAGTTTTCTTCAAGGAGAAGGGTCTGGTGCAAATAATTAATGGTGCTTTGGAAAATGTCTTGAATAAAAGGTCAAAGAGTCATTCTTGTTTTACTAAGCTTTGGAATTACTTAGTATACTTAGGAAAGTGGTAAAGTGTTATTAATTCTGTGTGGGGATTCTAAAAGTCATTCTAGGAAAAGTCAATTTTCATTAATAGGAGTATTATAAAAGGGACAGCCGTCTTTATCGGTTGTAACCAAGTCTTTATCAATAACATTTGAGTTATTTTCAGAGTATAACCTCTTAAGGATTTTTCCCAGATTTCTCCCTGGAAATCTGGGCTCCAACGGTGATTGGAGTATTTATAGTCTTCCTTATTATTGTAAGAAGACTTTTGTTCATTTCTGTTTTCTTCAAACCACCACATCAAACAGATTTGCATTCCAACCCCACCAAATTTTTCCTCCAGAACGATCATTATAATCGGCAATCCATTTCCAAGATCTAATACTAGTAATACTAGCAAATTTATTCATCTTCACTCTAGTTTCCACAAGGCAAACCAAATATAAATTTGAAGAATAAATCCAATTCTGGATTTCTTTTTGCATACAAGTTCTATTCAGACCTCTAAAATTCCATGCACCAATCATTTGGAAAAGAAATGCGGTGGGACAGTTCCACCAGCAGAAATCCTTAAATAGTCAAACTCAATGACTTGTTAAAATTGTTTTTCTGGTCCCAAACAGGGAGTTTGAATCTTGTTCTCAAAAGGATTAATGATTTTGGATATTTTCGTTGAAAGTCCAAGGTACTTAACTGTCAGACTTGGGTATGGTATGTAGCACCGTAGCAGCATCTTTCTTTAAGAAAATAGCATTATCTTATGCCTTACATGACCTTATTCTCAGTGGTATCTGCATATTTCAGAACCATCCATGTCAGTGGGTTCCTTCTATGTGATTTTCCCTTTGAAATTGTATGTTGCTTATCTGCCTATCATTCATGGTACGGTCAGTTTCTTTTATAAGTAATTTTGATTGTCATAATCTTTGTCCGTTGCACCATGTCAAATTATGCTATGGGACCCATGTCTACTATCCTATGAAAAGATGCAACAAGTACAATGCACCATCATCATCGTCATTTTTGTTAGACTTATTATTGTAATATCCATTATTATATAAATTATTGAGGTCCATATCATTGGCAATTTGTAGTTTCAAAGCAGTATATGCATTCTAGAGTTCTTTTATTTGGCGAGATATAGGCATGAATATTAACTTTATCCTACAATATGGTTATATTCTATCTGCTTGCATTTGACATACATTAATTAATACGGATTACATTTTTAACCCTTCAAGTGCTAGCAATTTCTTGCTTATTGCATATATTTTTCCTTTACAGGAGTCAGCATCACCTTGGCGTACTTCAATTAATGAGGAGAACGAATTTCTTCGTATGCAGGTATATCTACTACAAATCTAAATTCTGTTTTGTTTTCTAGAAGCAGTTGCTATGTGTTTTTTTTCTTTCAAAGTTCTATATGAGCATTACTTTACTAACAAATAGCATTCTATCCATGCCAGGCTATTCAAAATCAGTCAGAAATGGACACAATCCGCAAGAAACTAAATTTGTGCCTTGAAGAAAAAGATAAATTGGAAAGGTAGAAGTTACCATTTTGTTGAATTTGCCCCAAATATTTAAACACATTATAGCAGCTAAAATTTGTGATGTTTCAGTATTTGTGTGATTAATCCTGCCACCTTTCTCTTTCTTTATTCTTATCTGATGGCTTTTCCTCTACTTGAGAAGATGATTTATCACAAAATGTTGAATTCTTTATTTATTTATTTATTTTTACATATTTAAGGAATGATTTTTCTTCCTGGTCATCATTGTCTTTATTAGTTAAGAAAATCTTGCAGGCAAGTTAACTATTTGGAAACAGAGTTAGAAGCGGAGAGATCTTCGAAAGCCATGAAGGAAGAAACACATAAATTGCAAATCGAGCCACCTTCTCTAACAACCGATCAAGCGCTGAATATTTCTCTGAATGATCAGATAGAGCTTAAGACAATGGTTGACGCTATTGCAGCTGCAAGCCAAAGAGAAGCAGAAGCTCATGAAATAGCAATTATTTTGTCTAAAGAAAATGATGAACTCCAAATGAAACTCAAGGTCCTAATCGAGGATAATAATAAATTGATTGAATTATATGAAGCAGCTGTTGGAGAAAATAATGATCAAAGAAATGACCGAGCTCAGAATTCTCGAGTCAACACTGAAAATTACAGTAGTCACTTAATTAAATTTGCTGAAGAAAAGGTGGTGGAGATGAGAAGGGAAGCTGAGAACCTGGAGCATCAACTCATGGAAATGCATGAAGAGAATGAGAAACTAATGGGTCTGTATGAGAAAGCCATGCAAGAGAGGGATGACTTTAAAAGAGTACTTTCTTCTGGTGGAAAGAACTGTACTGAAATTAGAGAATTTAATTGCCAAGAGAAGCTTGTTGAAGGGGATGGAGGGGATAAACCCAATTCAGATGAAGCTCCTGTTTCTGTTGTGGGGAAACTTTCGAAGGAGGAAACTGGTTTGTCTGGAGTGTATGTGCAAAATGAAAGGGTAGGTATACAGTTAGAGAATCCTGCTGTATCTTGTGTAGCAAAAGTTCAACTGGAGGAAGGTTCCAGTCATCATGCTGAAATTCTGGAAGTAAATGATAGTCTACAGTTGGATGGACCTTCTATATCTGAGGAAAAAAGAAATTCAAAAGAGAATGCTTTTTCCAGACAAAATGTGCAGGACAGAGAGGGAAGTCTTCTTCAGACACATGCAGGATATCAGCTTGATGTTGAAGATAATGTTGACACTGAAGCAAGGTCACTAAACTTGACAACAATGAAGATGTTGGATGATTTAAATATTGTTAGAATGAAGCTTGATAGAGCACAAGAAAAGCTCTTAAATTCTGCCCCAACTATCAGTTCATTTGGATCACTAGAGAAAGCAATTATTGAAGTCGACAAGCTCTCAAGAGAAATTGAAGCAATAGAAGATAACATTCAGGCGAAGCAACAGGAGTACGCAGCCCTCAAACTAATTTCTTCTGACATGCAGGGTACAATAGCTCTAATTGATAAAAAAATGGCGGCAATCAAATACTCTCTATCAAGATTTTCTTCCTCGGTTGGTTACTTTGAACAGCGAGAAGTCCAAGCAAGGGCAAGGGTACATGCTACATCATCTTATGTGGACCAAAAGAAAGAGGAATTGGCCCGCCTTCAAGCTCAGAAAGATGAAATTGAGGATGCTAAGAGGAGGTTTCAACAATCTGAACTTGAATTAAGGAACGACCTTTTGTGCTTAAAATCAAAAGTAGAGAAAGAAAATCGTAGACAGGAGCATGAAAAGGTTCTCTTTGCCATTGATAATGTCGTTGAAACAGACTCGCCACAAATAAATTGGCATTTGGGTGGTAAGGCCACTGAGTTACTGAAGTCTGAAGAAGAGAAGACCAAGCTACAAACTGAGATGAAGCAAGCACAGGAAAAGCTTGGGATCATGAGAAGCGAAGTTGAGGATTTGAACAGGAAGTTTGGGAAGGTGGACAGTGAAATGCAAGTTATCCATTTGGAGGTACAGAAAGGTTTAAGGGCAATGGAGGAGAACGAACAAAGGCTTCGGAGCAACATTCAAGAGAAGGAGATGGTATTGGAGATGAAAGAGAATGGAAGGCTTGAGTTTGAAAATATAATTCTTGAATACCATCAATGTATTTTTGAAGCAGAGTTAAAGGAGGAAGAGATGAAAATGTTGGAAGAAGAGCTCCAGATGGAATTGAGGAAAATAAATGAGTTGCAGATGGAAAAGGCGGCAGCCACGGAGAGGAAGACTCAGCTGCTGGATGCTACAAGGTGCAATTCATTCTTTGTATCTGATCAAATAGAGGAGGAGCTCCAAAATATTCAGACTTCAGTTCAAGAATTGAAGTCATTGCTTGCAGATGATGGTCAATGACAGTTTCAGTCTTGTGTGTAATTGTTGATTAATTCACCTCAAACTCGGTGAAACCAAATCTGAATCTTGTATCAACTAAACCCCTATGATTGTCACTAGTAAATGAGCTTTGATTAATATTATCGTGTTGAATCAAGCAGTGTCGCCTTTTTAGGTATTCAATAAATATCCTGTTAACATGACATGAATATATCCAAATGTTTGGGGCAAGCAGATTTGATGTTTATCAGCTTGAGACCTTTACTCTATTAGTCTAAAAAGATCATAGCACATTCGGGTAAAGATCTATAGTTTCGTTTGTTGCGAAAGTTTTTCTGAAGTACACAACATCAAGGTTGAAATTTTCTCTAGTTACTCTGTTTAATTTATCAATTCTTTTTGTCGCTTTTTTCCCTGAATGTGTTTGAATTTTATTAATACAAAATGGACAATAAAGTACACAAGAGAGGTGGTTGACAAACCAACACAAAACCAAACCAAGGGCATGCCCCAGACTAAGATCACAAAAGCAATAACATCAAAAGCTGTTGAACCAATGGATGCCTGGATTGAAAGAATATAGATGCTGCTACCCTTCCCGCTTATGAGAATATATTCGGTGTGCCCGGTGCACTGACAATCAGAGCCGTCCGTTCTCATGCTTGTCATGCACGTGTCTGCCCGTGTTTGTGCACGGACGGGTCTGACGTGCCTGGTGCAAGGTGCGGGCACACCAAATATCTTCTCCCCACTCACATAGCTGGATGAACCACTTCCATACTTGAGAAGCACGGTTACAGGTCCAAAAAAGAAGATCATTTGAGTCTTCCCCACCAGAAAATCTATTTTTCCCACTTAAATGTGTTTGAATTTTTTTAATACAAAATGGACAATAACGTACACAAGAGAGCTAGTTGACTTGCAGGAATGGAAGAGCCACCATGTAGCCTCCTATTTCTCTGACCCCGTAGACATCAGAGAACACTATTAACTAAACTCCTAGTGAGCCTATTAGCATTGAACCAATGGATGACTGGATTGAAAAAATAGAGATACTGCAACCCTTCCCACTTACGAGAATATATTCGGTGTGCCCGATGCATCGTGCACCAGACAATCAAAGCCGTCTGTTTCTGCACGTGTAGTGCAAGAACAACTCTGATGGTGCACTAGGCACACTGAATATCTTCTTCGCACTCCGCACTTAGCTGGATGAACCACTTCCATACTTGAGAAGCATTGTTACAGGTCCAGAAAGATGATCATTTGAGTCTTTCTCACGTACGGAAACAGTCGTGACAAATTGATACCAAACACTTGTGATATCAATTCACCTTTCAGTTAAATTCAAAGAGTTCAATTGCATATAATTTTGGTCTCTATAACAATTATATATAAAAACACACATATGATCGAGTTACCATTTTGCCATATTGTAGAATCAAGACTTTGCAAATAATGGTTATAATAAATAAAAAACAAGAAGATTAAACTTAACATTATCCAAGTACTATTTCCAGTGAACTAGTCTTCACCCATCTCTGTATATAGATTGTTATATCATCACAGAGATTGAAATATTTAGAACCTCAGAGGAAGCTAAAAATATAGAAAACTATATGCAGTGAAAGAGCAACAGTGAGCAACTTTAGGTTTCTCCTAATACTTCCATAGTAAAGCTAGATACCACTTATAGATACTACCTGTACCGACCCAAACCCGGGGATCCAGATCGCTAACCAGGTCCTTACCCAAACTCGAGGTCATACAAGGGTACTATGGTCATTTCACGTCATTATGATAGCTCTAAAGTCCACAAGGGTATAATAGTTAATTAGTATGTTCATTATAGCTTCTAAACTCATTACTGTCATTTCCTATGGTCATTATGTGCTTTGGTTGAAGTCTGGGGGTAATTAGGTGAATATACTAAATTTGGGGTTAAACAGTAAATGTCAGCTCATCTAACCGGGTACATGATTTTATCTAACCGGTTAGACGGCTTGACCAGAGAGCATGCAAAAACTGAGGATCCATCTAATCCCTACACTGTCCATACAACTAATCGGGTAGGAAGGAGCATCTAACTAGTTAGATGGGCACCCAACCCTGATCTAACCGGTTGGATAACCCCATCTAACCGGTTAGATGATGCCCAAAAGGGAAATGACCGATTAGATCATTTCTCCAACCTATTCAAATGAACCCCAAAGTAACCGAACATGAAAAATAAAGCTCTATGGACATCGTCAAACTTAAAAAATTGCATTGAATCTTCAAAATAACATCATTCATGATGTATGTATTATCAATGATAAAAACCACTCGCAATAAAACGAATCCTTGTAGGATAGGGCTATGTTAAGGGTGTCGAGCCTCAAGGATTGTGGTGGATTGCCAAGTATAAAATTAATCCTAATTTAATTCAAGAGAAAGATGATTAATATTTTCTATTTCTAAATTGCAGTCTAATTGAAAATATACCAAATTAACAAAGGGTGAGATTAAGGTGAGAAGAACTTAGGGATTGACTTCACTACTAGCCTCATAACATGGTCAATTGCTTCAACTATGGAGAAATTCAAACTTATGTATATTTAGGAATCAAGTGGCTACAAGTACACTTTAATTCAATTAAGAAGGCATATATAAATAAATACTAAGCCATAACTCATCTTTGGTTTGTATGAATTGTCTATCTAACTACTCTAATCTAGGGTGCAGTGCAATTCGTCTTCCCTAGGCATGAATTATCAAAATATTCATTCATATATATTCAATTAAGCACCATTGCATGATCACTACTTAAACCGATAAAAGAAGCCCTTAGCCACCAACTCCCACAATAAAAATAGTTTGAGTTTGATTAAAGTAAAATTAATTATAAGACAAGAGATCAATTTCATCAAAAAACAATTATTTTCATTAAAACCCAATTGCTTAATACAACTGAGTCAATTGCTCACAACTATGCAATGAGCCTTGATTCAAGGGGGCTTGGGGCGCAATCAAAGGGGTGTCTTTGTGTATGTGGTCTGAATAATTTGAAGTAACAAGAGTTACCTATAAATAGAGGATTGAACCAATTTGGAAAAGAGGTTAGTGATGCGACCCGAGCGTGTGCACAAAATAATTCACAACACTTTGAGTTTAGAAATTAGTGTCAAGTGGGCATCATACTTTAAATTTATAAACCGCTTAACACCTATACTATATAGTATGAGTGAGAAGGGATTGTCCCAAGAGATTATACGTGTTGGAATTTAACTTCAACTCTAGCGTATCACAAGATTGCAAAGAGAGAGATTGGTTGATTAAACTAGAAAATAATTAAAATGAAAGTGAAATAAAACTAATTAGAGATAGGGATTTAAGAGATATGAAGAGAGGACTTAGGGTGTTGGAATCACCACTAAGCTCGTGTAATTAACCACTTGCTTTTCATTAATGGGGAATACATTGTTGTGAACAAAATGCGAATACCAATTGCAATATTAAGCATGGACCATCTAATTTAAGAATGAATTGTTTACCTAAACTAAGTGTAGCACAACCCATCAATTTTAAGCATGACCCATCTAACTAGTAACAATTGTAGCATACATCAATCTAGAGAATTATGGAATTTGCAATAATAAGTCATGGAATATCTAAGCAAGCATAGATTGTCTACCTACCTACAAGCATGAATTAAATTGTAGAACAACCCATCAAGTATAAGTATAAACCATCAAATTAATTGACAATCCCATTCAATGAAAACCCATGCTTAGCCATCACTAAATCCTTAATTAATCACACATAGACATGCAACCAACAAAGAGAATCTAGTGTAGAGATCAATTCTCCAAATAATCACACATAAGACAACATGTAATTAAAATAGAGAATCATAAGGAAGAATTAAATCAACAATCACAAGGCTAGAGTACTAATCACAACAATAGATATATAAATCCCCAAAAATAGAAATACAAGGGTTTAGATTACACAAGACTTATGACTAATCCAAGCCCTAAGTATAGATCTAGCCAATCATGGAGGAGGTGGATGCGGTCATGGAATCAAGCTCCAAATATGGCACCATCTTCTTCTTCCTTTTCCTCTTCTTCTTCTTTGAAGCTCTAGAGATGGAGAGAGAGAGTGGTCTAGAGATGGATCTTGAGATGTGCCTTCACTTCCCTCTTTTCTTCTAATCCTAATCTCTAACTTTGCCAGAGAGAGAAATATAAATTACAATGTAAAAAATAAAATGATAAAAGCTTCTTTACAAAATGGGTCACTTCCCTTTATATAGAAGGTCCTTTTCTTAGTCACTAAGTCAGGAATATAGCTCCAAAAATATCTAATTCGTACTATGTAGTAGGTGGACTTTTGGGCGCGCACGGGAATAAGACAACTCGCTGCCAACAAAAGTTTGATCGATCAGAGAAAAGTTCGATAAATCCAACTTTGATTTTCGATCGATCCAACTTTGATCGATCTCACTTTCTGCGATCGATCTCATGATCGATCTCACTTGGCAGCTTTTTAAGATCAGCCTCTTTTTGCTCCAAATCAGCCTCCTTTTGCTCTGGATCCTCACCAAGACTTAGTTTGACTCCAAAAAGGCCTTAAGAAACCATTTTTAGCCCATTTTAACATTATTGACCTGAAATAGACAAAAACACAAATAAGTACTAAAACGGGAAAATAAGATAGATAATGGTCCTAGAACATTCAAGCTTAAGGGGTTTAAAAGCGCATTTTTCAGCGCTCATCACACCCCCAAACTTAAATATTGCTAGTCCCTAGCAATGAACTAGAAAGTAAAGGAATGAAATGAATAACTATACAACTATGAACTAGAAAGTAATAAACGGATAACGCCACTTTCGTAGGGAACACGATTGTATTTAGCATATGTAACAAGCCTTTTAAACCCCTAGGTTACCCCTAGTGGACAAGTGAAGTCTCGTGAGGGTTTCCAGAAATGATACCCACAAACATTAAGTTCATCTCACAAAAGAGACACCAATATTGCGAACAAGTATTGGGAGAAAACTACCTCAAGTATGAAATTTTTTAACCATTTCCAAGCAATCTCCCAAAATCTCAACATCAAACAAGCAAGTATGGTCCTCCACGTATCAAGAAAATGATCATGAAAATCAAAACAACTCTAAAATCCTTTTTGAGTGGAACGGCATCAAATATGTTGCTATTTTAGCCAACTAAAGAAATGATCACATCCTTACCCTCAAACTAGCACACAAATTTAGTATCGATCATCAAGACAAATAGTGAACCTTTTATTAAA